TTTCATCAAGCCATGACAGCGATCAACCACATCCTCTCCTCCGGAATCTCTCCCTCTGATATTGTCATTACCGGCGACTCTGCTGGTGGCATGCTTGCTCTTCAAACCATTAGTAACATCCTTCATACTCACCAGTCTATCCCATCTGTCAAGATCTCGACACCTTTTGCCGGAATGCTATTGCTCAAGCCCTTCGTTTATCGAAAACACGCAAAAGGATATGGTACCCGTAGATAATCTGAATTCGTGGGCCGAGCTAATCAAAGAAGGGACACGTCACGGAGGTCGCACTCCTGAATCGGAACGTAATTGGATCGAACCTGCGAAGGCTCCTCCAGAATGGTGGCAGGGTACCGAGAAGGTTACAAAGAATGTCTCCATTGTTTATGGTGATCGTGAAGTGTTTAAAGACGGGATTGTGACCTTTGTAGACAAGTTCAAGGAAGGTGTCAAGGGAGAGAAAGTCGATATTCAGATTGTCGAAGAGAAAGACGGGATACATATTGCGTCTGTTCTTGAAGCGGGGAGAGGCCTTGAACCTAGCGAGGTAGCCAAGATTATGGCTGGGTGGGTTCATGAAAAGATAACCTCATGAGTATCCTCTACTACTCGATGTATGTTTGCTTACACGAGGATATTAATATGTATCGTCATTGTATGCTCAAAACGTTAACAATATATTTATTAATAGACCAAAGATATTGAGCGCTGGAGCTCATGAAAATGGTGGACTCCTGGAGTTTCGTTGTGGTCAGAAAATCGGTGTAAATGGTTCTTCATAAATCCAAGGAGGATTCAGTGGGAAATACCCTTCGTAATATGTAAAGTGATCCAGGGTTGCCGTCTAAATATTAAAATAAACATCTCGCCATGATGCCTTATAAATCAAAAGAAAAAAATGCATCCATGGAGAGACCAGTTCATGTGCTGATTAAAGGGTGCGTCCTAGAGTGCTCGAATAAACAAAAATACACACACAAGGAGTCGAACCCCGGCCGCTTGCATACAGGTTAATGGAAGATAAGCATGATGCCGTTTCACCATGTGTATTACGATAGTGCTCCATACAGTGCAGTCGCGGACAACCAATATTTATTTCACAACCTCTTTACAATTCTCCAACACAGTCAAACCACACCTCTGTACTTTCTCTATCTTCGCCTTTCAAGATTTCGGCACCATTTCCAGGACCCCAGACGTCCTTCAGTGCAATTCCGACCACCTTATCCTTTCCATCAGGCCCTTTCTCCACCACAAATTTCATACCAACATCCAAAGCTCCAAAGTCAACGGCAAAGAGCTTGTTATCCTCTTCATCCTTGAAGGGAGGAGGGAACAATATGAATGATCGGCCTGTAGATCTATCACCATTAGAATGGGAAACGATGACATGGTAGACCAATATTTATCCCAGGCAAAGACAAATTCGGGATACCGTCCTGGAATTGTTTGAGATATTTCAGATATTGTCGATTGGCAACGATCTCGGTATTGCTGGTATTCGATGGAGGATGAATTTCGATAGGGACAGAGGATGACAGTTCCATAGGCTGGATTGAAATATATTCCAGAGTAAGAGGATAGCGAAAGTGTAGTTTGAACTGTAGAAGGCTTCTTCACCGTCGAAGATTTATTTGATGACCGAGTAGAATA